GCTTATTTTCTACATAAAATCGGTCACTTACATAATTAGATTCTATTAGTTTTCCATTAATGAAATGATATGTTTTACCACGAGGAACAATATCTAAAAACTTTTTATTATCAGGAGTACCATCATTCCTCACCACCTCCCAAACCTGTTTTGCTAAAGACTCGGGTCTTTTTTTGTAATTCTTATAAGCTCGCTGGATAACTACTGCATAGAAATTCTCAAACTGATAGTTGTATTGTCTCGCAATCAAGAATCCCCAAGATCGCTTCATTGATCTTCCTAACTTCTCAAAAAATACTTTATTAAAATAGATTAAAAGATCTAACCCAGAATAGGCATAGCGTCTGCAGGTGATACATTTCATGCATAGCACCTTCAACTAATTTTACTAGGCGATCATGCATGCAGATTAATTTCGCAAAAAAATAAAGTATAAGCTATGTTTGGCCTCGACATAGTCGAGAGATACATAATACTAATATTCGGTTGAAAGATATTGCAAAGCGCCTGCGAAGCGCCTTAATTGCTAACGGCTAAGTTTATTTCATTGCATTTTTCACACAGAAGCCCAGTATCCATCAACATCAATAAAGCTAGATGCATTTACACTACGTTGCATTAATGCATCAGGCTTTCATGGCAATGGAGGAGGAGTTGGTCCATTTAGTGCTTCGAATCTTTGGTTCAACACATGATGAGAAATTGGTGAAACCATTTCTTGTCTGGCAGGTGAAATATAAGCTAGCTCGAATTTTGAAGCACTTGGCATAGTATTTTCTGCTATAGTTGCTTTGGCCGAAAGGTAAGCTTCATAGCTGACTGAACGAGTATCATAATCATATGATATCGATGCTGATTTATCTTTTTCTGAGTGTGAGGTAGATTGGGAGAAAAGTTCTAGACGAAGACGATTAAGTTTAGTCTCTTCTCGTAATATGTATTATTTATATACTCAGATAGTAGCTTCTCTTTCATCAATAGATTAGAGAATTTTTCTTCTTGCATGTTCGTTTGAAATATTATCTCCATTAATACATCTCTTAAGATGGTCATCTCGATAGCAAGTTTCTAAACGAGGAGTTTCAGGTATGAAAACTAAGGAGTCGCATACACTACAATATATGTAATTTGATCGCAAACTGTGTTCTCTACCACTAATCTCATATAAGTTTTCACACATTATAATATATCCATTCTTAGAAAGGATTCTTGGATTCTCTTCAAGTATTTTCCTAAATGGATCACGGATACGAGAGCACCACATTTCTGGTGTTTCATGATCATATCGTACACCTAAAAGATATAATGCCTCTAATATTCTTCTATATTCTTCGAAGTTTACATCACTATAGCCTACAGAAACTAGCTTATATTGGGCTCTACTATCTAAATCTATAATAGTGTTGTAGTAAATTATAACAGATTATAACGATTTTATAGTGTTTTTAGCGATTTTAGCTGATTTAGCAATATTATACTATAATAAAACCAAATTCATTTTTATCGGATAAAAACAGATTCATACTTTTTTATATTTTTTTTGATTCAGTTAAATTAGATCTGAGACAATATACACAACATGATCATCATTGTATTATAGTATCCTGGCTCCTTTCCAGTACCTCGTCAGTCCCCGGCACTCTTCCGTCACTTTCTCATAACCCATATCACGAGATGATCGGCAATTCAAATCTCGAATTCATAAAAAAATGCAACTAAGCCACCCTTATTTTTTCGATAAATCATTATATTAGTCATTGCGAAAATTAAAGCGCTAACTGTACGCGAAGCTTATTTAGTCTTACTCAGTCCCTACTAATTCGCCAACTCACTCCAATCATGTTTTATATAAGCGAGTCTTTTTAGCTCTTCCTCCCCCTCCATAAAAAATAAAAATGTCTACACAGTGGAACGAGAAACAAACCTGAATGCTTATCGATAAACGTAAAAATGGAAACGATCAATATCACTGAACCTCTAATCACTATAAAAGGAACTTTTAGGATGAGATTGCAAATAAAATAAACCAAGCAAATAATACTAACTACTTCACTGGTGAAGATTGCAATAAGAAATTCTTAGTTCTAACTCGAGCATACTATGTAAGTCATATGATAATCAAGCGCTTTGCATATACTTAACCCGACTCTGATTTGATATTTTTGTTATATATAGATGGCTAAGGCCTATAAGAAAGCTAAGGCGGAAGCTGAGAGTCTCTTAAGGGACCAATTATCAACTAATGAGGGATCTGAGGTTCATTGTGAACGACCACCAGCTAGGGTGATAACTAAAAAGAAGAGAAGTATTATAGGAAAGCAATATTATGAAGAGTTCTCTATAGAATTTTGGAAAGAACCCGATATTTGTTTTTCTGATATTCGTATTTACTTTGGTAAATCCAGAATATTCCCCTAAAATATTTATTGTTTCTAGGATCACAACGTTCTACGACGCTATCTAATACAACCATTCAATCAACACTCTCAACATCTGGTCCTCTTGAGACCGGTTCTGATACTTCTTTTTCTTCACATAAATAAACTAAATCATCAAGACCAGTAACGCCTTCTATTGAGACTCCTGTAGTCTCTAGACCCGTTACTTCCACTCTCCCCTCGTTCTCTCAAAATGCTAATGTAATTAATGTCACTATTAATTACGGTGATAAAGGAAGGACCTATTCAGAAGAACTTTGAAAAGTATTTTATGAATAGCATTTTTAGATCTAAGCTGTTATTTTTTTTCTTAACTGTAGCAATGCAATGTTAACAAAATACAAAAGCAAATGTAATAGATTTATCACTTGTAAAACGCAAAACACGTTTAAAAAAAATTTAAAGTAAAATCTTTATTATATCTTTGTAAATGGATAGCCACGACTCAACTCTCATTGACTCTGCAAATCATTTTCGCCAAGAAAAATAGCATATGTCAAGCCAAAAATTCATAACACTAGATGATCTAATATAGGGGCTGGCCGTATGATTTCACCTGAAAAGAAACAATCCCCTGAAATGTACTAAAAAATAAAGATCGTATAACACTTGTAACCAAAAGTTCGTATAATATTAAAACGTGACGGACACCTGAAAAACAATACATATCAGGATGTATTTTCTCAATGTCCCAAACCCCTGATTTATTCTGTATATAAAAAGTTCCTATTGCGGACTGGTATCTTAATATTCCTATCTGCAAATAAAAAAAACAGGCCTGAGGTAGATATGATTATATAAATAAATGTATTTTTTTTTCTAGACAAGACACATAAATATTAATGAAATGATCACCTAAATGATATTTTTTTTTTCGGTAGTGTCACATATTTTTCCTAAAACCTATTAAGTGATTTCCCGAAAAAAGATTTCTTTATCTTCAATGCTTCAAAGGACCAGAGAAAAGGAAATGAGCAAATTAATTCGTGTTGCTTTCCTTGTTATTCCTACTGGCACATTTTTCGGATATGATCGATGTCAGGTAATTGGTATTAGTATTGAAAAGGATGCACCAGTTACCGCATTAGAATCTCAAATCCAAAAATATCACTTGGATGAAAAATTCAGAAATGCTTCTTTTTCTCTACGCGCAATCGATTATGAGGCAAAAACATACAGGGATATGAAATCAGAGGATAAGGTTAGCGATTATTTTGCTAAAGATCCTTCTATGTTTGATAAGCATATTCACATTCTTGTGGTATCTGCCGTGAACGAGGAAAATAAGGCATAGCAGGCAAAAAACAAGATTCTTTTATAGTTTTAAATATATTTTTATTAAAATTATTTTGTAAAATTTATCACAATAAAGAAATTATTTTTCGATATATAATAAAGTTTCACAGAGTTGCATGGGAGAACGCGCTCTAAATATCATATAGTTGCATTAGGCAATTAGTCCGATATATTAGAACACTTGCAGTCGGACCCAAAGCCCGTCTTGAAAGACAATGACTGCTCCTATTCTTTGGCTCCATTAATCACCACCATCATTATTATCGCTACTGCTACTACTGCTACTACTATTATTAGCAAAACTAACTCTCTTTTTTCCCTCTCTTTCGACCTATGGAATTATTTTATCCATTGATGTGGTTCTCGGGGTTTTCTGATGTCGATAGAAGCTGGCCAATGTGGCAGGACTAAGTTTGATTTCTTGAGATAGTATATTGTACATCTGCATAGGAGAGCGTTTCTCCCTTTTTCTTCTTTCATCAAATATAGCCGTGAACTCGACCCAGTACATTTGTATTTCATCCGTATATTCAGAAAATTGAGATACACGGCTTGTGGAAGAAAATCTGTTTGATCTGGCTAGGAAGAATAATTGACATATTAGTCCCGAGAAATCATGTGATTGCCGAACATTTGCAAGCAAAATCCAATCATACCTTGCGAAACAGCATCGTTTCTCCAATCATTTTCAGTACGCATTCTCTTAAGTTCGTTATTTATGGCCAGGATTGATCTTTCTAGATCAGATCATTATTTCTCCCAGTCTGTTGTTGGCGGAAATAAATGAATGCTCCAGCAAAAAATATATATACGTATAAATTTCCTGAAAAAATAGCTTGGAGATTCTCAATAGTTATAACTCCCCGGGATATCATCTCGTAGATTAATACTACGGCGCAGAAGAGTGCAATTAGGAAGATATCTGTAAAGGGAATCATCTTTATTAATTTATTAGATTGTAAATTGATTTAGGTATGCACAATTTTTTGATTTTTTTTTTCTTACCAGACGCCTCCGATTTTCACCCAGCTTTTTTATAATTAATATTTCTTCCGCAGTTAAGAGCTACGATCGTCGCAAAACATGAAAGTCCCTGGATCTTCGCTGGAAATCATATTATCCAATAATTTGCGGATCCAGATTACCCTGTATTAACATGCATACTCTCGAGCAATAAAAAATTAGTATATACATAGATTCCAGAGGAATTACACCAATCACTCCCACACGAGAAAAAAATAATTGTCTACATTTCGCGGGTAACTTAGTACCCTAAACGTCTTTTTTTAATTGCAATACATTGAGCCTGGTCCTAAAGGGACCGCTAAAAATAAATTACATGATGCGGGACTTGGTCCATGATACATGACGATTTTTTCTATGCCCCGGTCTTAAAGGGACGCTTCATCCTATTCATTGCGTCTATTCTATCCACCACCCAATAACCCACTATATTCATTATTTTCATCCTGACCTTGGTCGTGACATTAATGAGAATCTTGAAAGGGAACTATATATTATTTACAAGTTCTAAAGACGCCTCCTTGCAAATGCTCAGCCTAAATCGAAAGTAAACACCTATCCTTAATTGTCTAATGTCTCGTTCGACACTTTACTAAGTAACTTTTGTTTCACTGGCACTTTTTCACACTGAGATATGCAGTGAGTATACCTGTTATATTTGCTTATTTACATAGTTGCAATATTCGTATTTATGGGTTGTGAAATTTCGTTTACCTCGAGAAAGGAAGCGAATATATATGCGATTCACACGTCGCACAGCCCCTATTCTTCGGCAAGAATTTTACCGAATCTCTTCTGCGCATTTCAGACAGATCACGCCTAGCATTCTGCAACAACCTCCGAGTTTGAATTAATCAACAATTAGCAACAGATACTTTACTAATTTTTATTATATTATGATCTATTACAATAAAATAAAATGTAGGTACGAAGCATTTGTGATTATGTGTTTATATTATTCTAAGAGAATGTTGCAAAAATAAACCAGCATCGCATTTAAGTAAAGTTATTTTTTTGTTACGAAGAGAAGCAAGCTGAACTATAATTCAGTTTTTAAACAATCCAAATCAATTTCTTTGTGACATTAAGACCTCTTGTTGAATGTTATAAAGATCAATAGTAAAAGTATCACCAGGATTGATACTAATTCCAGGTGGTATCGGAACAGGAAAATATCCAGTAGGAGGTGGGATTGTTGCCGGATCAAAGAAAACCTCATTAACTGGAATTTTTATTAAAAAAGCCGGGAGTCCTGGACCAGTACATCCAGTGGTGGGAATAGGTCTGTTTTGACGGATACGTGCCCCTATTGGAATAGTTCCAAAATCCCACTGGAAATACATTTTAAGAAATAGTGAGAATTAGGGTCAACACTAATTACAGATTACAAATAAGTTTACTTCCTGATGTCCTGCTCCTTGCGTATAGAGTCTTGCTGTCATGGCTCTAAGTCTTCGACCTTGGGCGTCTCTCTCATTCTTTGGTTTATGCAATTTTATTGCAAACACATAGCGGACGTGAACCACCTGCAACCACAATTGACATTTGGCTATCCAGTCGTGAACCGATTGATAATTGCCTAATTCAACTATTATCCTCGCATGCGAGTTACCCTAGATAGATAATGTCATTAAGGAAATCTAAAATAAATATGCTAATGCATTAAATTCAAAATACATTTGTGTCGCTTGGAGGAGGACCCGGATAGGGAACAGTAGGTTTCGGGACGTAAGGTTCATTTGGAGCTATTGCGAGGTCAAGGGCGATTTTCCTTCTTCTTCCAAGTATGTCTATAACGGGACTAGGATGAACTAGAAAAGGATATAAGAGGGTGTAAATATTAAAAGTGATTACTACTAAATAACAAATTGATTGAGGAATGGTTCTTTTACTTGTATCGTATGAAACTATTATTGGACGGTTAAGCGGTAGAGCACCATTGTAAGCATTAAAACGAAAGGATAAATATGAAGCGACTCTGGCATGCTCAGTATTAGATATATCGACGATAAACACGTTGCCGTTATCGTCGTGTTGATACTTGTATCCGCGGGGCGCTTTACATTCAAGAAACTTGTTATATTTATTTATTGATACGTTTGAACCAATTCGTAAGGGCAAGCTACATTTATTACACGTCAATATTGGATGAATTTTGAAATCAGCTGTGTAATAACTACCTACCTTGCTTCGTCTATATTTCTTGGAATACGGATTCGACTTGGTTTAAATGTTCTTAACCTTTCCAAAGAGGCTTGCCTGTTTATGTGAAACATTTTGAAAAAAAAAAGAGTTTATTCGATAACTTAATAAAAACTCCTCGATCTAAATATGATATCAATTATCATGTCATCAAATTAATGACGTGATGTTGATCTACTAAGTACTTTATTAATATACATGCGAGTGATAAAAAAAACAAATACAAGTGTAAGACTAACATTGTAAATGATGCTTCTATGCTATAATTGCGAACTTGAGTTTATTGCTTGAAGTGTTGCAGGTAAGACAATATTCCAACTTATCTTGGGAATATAACCTCACTAATTCAGGATCATAAGGGAGCTGATTCCCATTTTTGCAGTACCATGAACCATGTAATCCATAATTCCCATGTTTTCCATCACAAATAGGGCATGGTGAGTACCACGGCTGAGCAGATACAAAGTTATAATTATCAATCCCTCTGAAACTATTTTGGAATTTCAAGTATGGGAAGTGCTCTAAGATGGATTTGATAATTGATTCTGGATCAGGTCTGGCTTCGAAGGTAATAGGCTTGAAATCAGAGGCTTGAGGTAATCCTAGCCAAAGGTGCTCAGAGCAAGGGACCGGTTCTGCTGACATATCTATCACAGCTTCCGATAATTGCCATGGCTCATTTCCAGTTTATTTTTTATATCTTTTGTATAATTTGAAACGAATCTTATCCGTCAAAACGCTTGGTAATCCACTTAATTTGGCATGCC